GGACAGTACACACACACACACACACACACACACACACACACACACACACACACACACACACACACACACACACAATTGTCACTATTTCAGGAGAGATCAGCATGATACAAACACAATTACTGTCACTATTTCAGATAGTGAATGGTACAATATAGGTGCAATTATTGTCACTGTCTCAGGAATTAATTGTTCATTGCAAACACAATTGTCACTACCCCAGGAGTGAGTACTTCAATAAAGACACAATTGTCACTTTCTCAGGAGTGAGTTGTTCAGTACAGGCACAATTGTCACTATCTCGGGAATTAGTTGTTCATTACAAACACAATTGTCACTGTTTCAAGGACACAGTTTACTGTCACTACCTCAGGAGTGAGCAGCATAGTACAGACACAATTGGCACTATCTCAGGAGTGAGTAGTTCATTACAAACACAATTTTCACTATCTCAGGAATGGGTACTTCAATACAGACACAATTGTCACTATCTCATGAATGAGTACTTCAATACAGACACAATTGTCACTTTCTCATGAGTGAGTAGTTATTACAAACACAATTGTCACTATCTCAGGGGTGAGCAGAATTGTACTGACACAACAATCTGCATACCCTGTCAGTCACGCACACACACGACATGAAAGTCTCTCACCTGTGCCAGAAAGGTAGACATTAATTGGCAGAATAATCATATGTTCGGAGACGCCTCCGGCGAGCACCCAGAATCTATTCAGAGACGCACTCTCGCACACACATAGATGCACTGCTCTGGGGGATCAAACTGCGTATTATTTGCTGCAGATCACACATATAGCCACCAAAACTGTCGCAAATCAAATATTTTCAAGAAAATGTCAAATCTAACGGCAAAATATCAAATTATGGGTTAAAACAGATTTTTTTTACTTGGTCTAGAGGCACAAAGCATTTTGATTGGTTTATCTCCGTCGAAGACGTCTCCAGATAGACACTGCACATTAATTTTACAAACGTAGCCGACACACACATGTGCGATTAGCGGCAGAACAAAGGCGCATGTATCAATACACTTCCAACCATCACACAAAAACAGACCCACGAATTTGCATAATTATTCCATAGTATGCACGCATTTGCCAGTCATTTTTAGGTTTAAGATCTGGAAAATAGCAATGAAAAACTGCGGTAGGGCCTATAACATTTCGAACCATCACAACAAAAAAAACAACCCCC